GCCATTTTCTCCTGGACAAGTTGCTTTGCGGCTTGCTTCTGGAATTGGTACGCATGCCACTTTAAAGCAACTTAATCACTGTGGCCGCCAAGAAGGACCGTGCGGTGCTCCCTGTTCAGCTCTTGTCGCAATCTGATAGCGGCTTGTACTTCCGCGTCCCACCATCGCTTTCTTTGTCGTCGTCCACCTCGTTCTTTTGTAGAATGCTGCTTGATGAGGCGCTTTAATTCGTCCATATATTCTGCGTATCCAGACGCACTCACCCTCTCGCTGCTGTTCTCGAACTCCTCCACAACTTTCTCAGCTGCCGTTGGGGATAGCCGGAAACCGCCTGTTCGAGAGGGCTTTTGTTTTCTTAGTTATGTTGCCTTTGAGAACTGTAACCTTATTCGGTTGTGATCACTCCCAACACTATGGTCACCAGCTTCATCGATGTCTGCGTGGACAAGGTAGCGCGCCAGCTTCTGTGAAACCAAGGCATAGTCAATGCAAGTTTTGCTTCCACGGGCACTCCACGTATATTGTCCTTCACATGAGGCTCTAAGGTTGACAATCTCCAGAGCGTTATCTTCGGCCATCTGCATCATCATTCGTCCATTTTCGTCCTCCAGTCCATCCAGTTCATGCAGGTGTCCGTTGAAGTCACCCATAATAAGAATCTCTCTTGTAGCAGCAAGGGCCTTGGCATCGGTTGTCACACAAGCCATTAAACGCTGGTTCTCTTCTCTGCGCGCAGCTCCTACCGACAGGTACACTATGCAAACGGCTACAGAGATACATATTATCTCCCCTGTCACCGAAATATGGTCCCAGCACTCTCGCGGCTCCTTCTGCCATGCTGATGTATTGCACCACACTACGCCCACTCCTCCACCTCGGCGCTGACCTTCCACACGATTGCGTCCAGCCCAACACCAATTTTCGTTGGTTGGAGCTTCTTCCAGATCACGTAGGTGCGTCTCGGCTACTCCAAAAAGTATCATTTTTTCGTCCTCCAACTGGCTGAACAACTCTTCCCATTTTTGCTGCCGTCGGGCTCCTTGGAGATTGAGAAATCCTACCACCTCTGTCGGTCGTCTGCTGCGTCTACGTCGCCTTCGTCTTTTTTTAATACTACTGATTCTGACATTTCCCCGCTTACCCCTGACCCCCCTCACTGAAAGCGCTTTTAAACCCCTTGCCGTTGACAGTGGTAGCCCAGCTGCTGGTTCACCATCTCGGTCACGATTGCACGCAGATCGTGGAGGGGGAGGGGAGGCACCACATGTGTATACAACTGGGCAACATGTCCTGTCTTTGGGGAGGTCCAAGGCCCAAAAGAAGGCACCGGGAGTCCCCCGCTTGAATCTGTCTGGCGCTGAGGGTGGAGTGGGGGCATCTCGGGAGGCCATCCGAATGCTGCAAGATTGTTGTGTGCGGTCTGTGTGGACCTCAGTGGTGATAACCCTGGAACTCCAGTCGCCGGTGGCAGGTGTATGTTCGAGTCTACGTAACGAACTTGCTGCTCGAGCCCGGGTGTCGGAGTGCAGTTTACCACAGCAGGATAAGGCAGCTGTTGTCTCACCTCCGCGTCTCTGGGGTGTGGAAAGGGATTGTCTGTTACAGTGCTCCCGTAGGGCCGCACTTGCGGGAAACTTTGTTGGGGCCTCTTTGTGTATGGATGAGCCCTGGAATCTGGCCGACAGGAATGTCTTGATGGCTGGAGCAGGCGAAATGCAGTCGTCCGGTGGCTCTTTCGGAGAGCATTGTTGAAGCCGAAAGGAGGTTTTGTCCTCTGTTCTTCGCGGTTCCATTGGTAGCGCCGCTCCAGGTTTTCTGGCGCTTTCCACGATTGGCTTGCTGCTCCTCCAACGCCTCTCTGTATATTGCCTTCTAAAAAACGCCTTGCCACTTGTGCCAGTTGTTGGGACACCACACAAGCACCCATTTCTCCGTAGTGCACGCCATCTTTGTCCATAGTGTTGTGGCCGGTCAGCTCCGCACTGAGGTCAACGTACCGTACACGTATCTTCCTGCACAATTTCTTGATCTTAGCGTTCAGCATCATCGTCGCAGCCTGTACAACCTTGCCTTTGCTCACGACCTCTGGCACCGAGCAGATAGTCAGCGATGCTTTACGTGAGCTCCATCTTTTACGGAAAACTTCTACAACATCATCTGGCTTGTGTCCCTTCAGCAGGTCATTAATCCCCACATGCATGATGTACATACGAGGAATTTTCCGGGCACCTTCCTCGTACTCATCAATCATTGTATGGACCTCCTCTGCTGTCGCTTTTCTGTTGAACATCACCTCAACACTTTGTGGGTTATTCACTGCAGATAGGAAAGGTTGGGCAATGCGCTCCACGTTGCTGTCCCCAACAATCAAGACCTCTCGTGTGACCCCAGGAGGAGGTCTGTCCAGTCTTGTGAGGCCCTTACTGACTTCCTGTTGTTTAATGAAACTGGTGTGGCGCAAACCCGTGGTCGCCCCGTCGGGGATCCCAGGTCTCTTCGAATCATCCGGGTTGTTTGAAATGTGCAGGAGGTTTAGATCTTCAGGTGAATCATCCTTCGGCTCATCTATGCCAGTCAGCCCTTCAGACTCCGGTCCTGTGACACTAGGTATTTTATTCTGGTCGGTTTCAAACTCCTCTCCGTGTTGCACGAAATCTGCCACGTATTGCGTCAGATCTTCGCACTGTGTTCTACCGGCGCTGTTTCGTCGATCACTCAGGTTGCTTATGTCGAAACTCACGAGCGCGTCGTTGGACTGCTCCTCGGACATCAACAGTGGAGCTGGCAGAGTAGTTGACGGCATTGATTTCAGTGACCTAGCCATTTCAACGCCTAGCATATTTTTTTTTCGCGTGTCAGAGGCTTTTTAAGAAGAGTGGGGCAGCATGTGTCAGCGTGGCCTCAATTGATCTACTTGACAAGGAGCGTGCCTTCCTCAATGACGCGCCATGACATCGGGTTGGCTAGTGATGGGTCGATATCAGAAACACGGATTGTATATAAGTGACGTTTCATGTAATAAAATCAGTTGTTAGTTGGGCACTGTGGTGTCTGATTCTTGTCTTTTTGCCCTTTTGTTTTGAGTGCTAAAATGTTTTCCAGATACCTTTTTCGACCGTGACACTGCCCAACCTTGCATTGAGAGATCCCCCTATTCCCTTTCGCTTGTGCTGCCGGAGAGAGATGTGACATCCCTTGGTCTAGTGAAAAGGCCGAGTGCGCAGGCTAGCTAATGGTAGCTAATCATGTCGCTTACCACATAATACTGTGTTGCAGAAAATAAAAAAATATGTAGTCGAAGGAACAGTCACAGAAGGGAACGTCTCAAACTCCGTTAACTGGTTTATTTCTCAAACATCATATATATACCCACACAACCACTTTTAACACCTTCTACACAGAGATCTCTTTTGTTGAAAGCCCTTTTAAATACAAAGACAATACACATTAAAAACAGACAAAGTAGTCAAACCCACATTGGCATCATTGCCAACCACCTTCTACGCAGAGATCTCCTTTGCTGAGAGCATTTTTAAATACAGGGAAAATATACAAGAGATCATGCGGTCAAATCCGCAATACAATGCCCTTATCATCAAGGACAACAGGAGAGGAATAACTGAGTTTGAGACGTTCCCTTCTGTGTCTGTTCCTTTGACTTTTTTTAAATTTTCTGGATTACAGGTTTAGGTGTTAAACAACATAATTGGGGTAGTGTTGCCTGTCTTGGCGGAGCGCGGGAATAGGTGTTTTTCCCCCGGGGAAAATAGGTGCCCTTTCCTCCTCGACATTTTTCTCCCTCGCTTACATTTATGTAATGCCCGAGCCTGGCTACGAACACTGGAGAACTTCGGGATGGTAACCTTTTTTTATTAATGTATTTACAACCATTACTCAAATACCAGTAGCGTTGTTTACATAGAGAGCCCGCACGCCTGCTTTCCCGCAAGTCACGGTGACAGTCAATCGAGCTTTATAGGGAAGCCTTCAGCGAAGGGCAAGGTTGGTTGCATATGGCATTCCGGAACCAAGAGGCATTCACACTTTCGTTAATATATAAAGTGGTTCAAGTCACCAAGCTCGATCTAAAATGGACCGTAAAAATCGACACCTGCACGTAGCCATCTAAACTTTTCGTTAAAGGTGTATTTCACAGGTCGGTTTTTTCTTGTAAAATTACAGAGCGTAGTTCTCTTTTAGTAAAAAATAGGGCCAAGAAACTTCCAGGGGTCTACGGCGGGCGGTGACCCAGACGACCAAGTCCAGTAGCGGGCTGTGTTTGCCGTTCGTATTGATAGATGGCGTCGAGAGCGGCGTCTGAAGGCGCAGCCGACCAGCGAAAGATAGCAGGCGACACGCAGACGAAATCCGTTGGCAGCAAAAGCGCCGCCGTTATGCAGACGCGTTTTTTTACTTTAAGTTTTGCTTTTTTTGTTCGCATTCATTTTTTAACGGAAGGTACATGTCAACAAGATTATATTCATTTTAATAAACCACGGTGGTCGCGAGCCGTCGCGATTAGGAGTTAGCGCCATCTATCAATACGAACGCCAAACACACCCCGCTACTGGACCCCTGCCGTCTGCGTTGCTGCCCGCCGTAGACCCTGGCAAGTTTCTTGGCCTTACTTTTACAGAAACAGAGATTCCTTTTTGTAATTTTACAAGAAAAAACCGACCTGTGAAATACACCTTTGACGAAAAGTTTAGATTGCTACATGCAGGCGTCGACTTTTACGGTCCATGTTAGATCGAGCCTGGTGACTTGAACCACCCTAAACATATATTCGGGGCGTCGTCAATTCACTTGCCACTTCTGTAAATCCGATCTGCGTGTGCGCACTGCGCATTACGCTTAACGGAGTACTAGACACAGTGGCTTCGTGCACAGACATTCTGCCCCTTGGATATCGAAACTGCGATGTTTCTGAACATAAGGTCTTTGTCTGTTCCCTTGCGTTATTGGGTTATTCGGATCTGTCTCTTTATGCACCATTGCAGGCCGTTGTCCACCGCGAACGAAGCAGACGTTGCGTTGCTATGGAATCCAATCACTCACGCATCAGGGTTATGGAGTATCTTTGCGCCTCTGATTGGAGCGACCTGCGTAATTGCACCTCATACCTTGTCGATGGAAGGATACGCCGATTTGATCGACAGATTCAAGGTGAGAAGATGTGCAAACTATTTTTTTACTTACTTGCAGCTTAGTGCAGCTTAGAGAAAAACCAGGTTTTTCACTTCTAAGGGCCTTAAAGGGGCCCTGCAATCATATTTAAGCGTCTACTTTTTTTGCGGTTTCCACGTCTCTTGAAGTTCTGGCAAGCCAGCGGGCACGGAGAGAGTAACTAAATATCAGTGCGTCATATTTTAACCGGACGACGCGGAAACCTCCTCCACCGACGAGGGCGACCCGCGGTACCGAAAGCGCGCAAAATGTGACGTCTTTGGTCCTTGGCTTACTACTGGTCAGAGCCGCTAAAAGCTTCTTTTTAGTCGAAATACAAAATATAAGTGTCGCGAACCGTTTCAATTACGTATAAAAGTAGTTTTTGTTCACTATTTTAGATGAGAAAAGAAACAAATGCAGTTTATAAAGCACGGAAACAAGAAATGACCCGTCGACATACCCGCCACCAAGCGGTGGAAAAGCCGGCGCATACTAGAAAGAAGTAGTGGGATCAGGCTCCGACACGGAAAGGTCCCGGATGTACGCGGCAGCGCTGCGGTCATATGGGCAGGAGGATCCGACCGGCACCGAGCCCTCCAAAGGCCGTCGGCGAGATGCGTTGTCTTGCGGTTTGGCCGTTTCGCGGTATGGCAACGCGAAGTGGCTCCCACTTTGAACTGATCTTTACCCCGTGTTTGCTGTCGTTTGTGGCCAATGAAGTGTCATGCCGAATTAGTGTTTAATCACGCAGCAAGGCAATGAGAGCCGCTCTGGCTGCCCGCTGCATACAGCCTGTCCAGAACACGCTTTAGTGGCGCCCTCTCGCGCCGTCGACACGGAATGCGGCAGCTGTGAGCGCTCGCGATGAGCTCACTACCCCCCACTAGTTCACGGCCGCTCAAGCAACCAAGGACGTCATGAGGGAGGTTATTTTTTGCTTGTTTTTGTAATTTTGATTTGCCTATAACTTTTAAAATAAAGTGAATTTCAAGAAAATAAAAGTTACACTAAGTTACTACGTTCAGTGCGCTCAGGTTTGGTGCAAATTAAAAATTAGTAAAAAAGTGCTTGCAGGGCCCCTTTAAGGTGCAACCCCACCGTGCATGACGTTTTGGTACTTTTTGGACGGCTTATAACTTACGTTCTTTGTATCTTACAATTATACAGTTAATGTCAAATTAAAAAGCTGGTTTTCGACAATCTATTGATGTCTTAAAATTACGATTATATTTGGTTGTTATTTAGTTATTTATCTTTTAATATACCACAGTCTCTAATGTTGAAAAAAATATTTCTCGAGTGATAACGTCCCATTGTCCACGATAATTTACGTGGGAGTTTGGTTTCATGCAATAAATTAATAAAGTAAAACAACGAACGAAACAGATAATTTATATTTTAAAATAAAAAAAATAAAAATTAAAATAACAATATTTTATGGCGCTATAAAAACGGAATCACGTCAACTAATCAAAATAACGAGACATTAACTTATGAAGCATCCTTCGATATTAAATTTTTCAGAACTTCCATATCGATATACTACACGATAAAAATGTTATAAGACCTCAAACTTTTCCCATTCAGTTACGGCAAATTGTAGTTTTTTTAATATAAAGTACAGATGGCGACACGTGTTCAAGAACAGCTTGATGTGCATCTTCCGTCGTGTGCCGCTTGGAACGCCACGTGAAAGACAGAAAAAGCGCCAGATGTCAGGGTGTCAGATGCCTGGATGCCCGCAGTGAGCGAGCCAGAGATGTCAGAAACACAAGCGCGAGGCTGTGGGTGCACCACCGCTACTTTTGCGCGCGTTATATTGTGCGTCGGTACACATTCCCGACGCGATCAAAATAAAATGGGCGCATAAAATTCATTCTGCCATTTAAAAAAAAAAAAAAAAATTGGGTTGTGTGTATGTTTATACAGCCCACAACTTGGTCTGCCTCACAAGGGCGACGAGTCTCCCAGCTGTAGATGAGCAATTTAGCCAGTGCAGTACAACCGCTAGCCTGGGGTCTTTAAAGTGCACCACGCAGTAGTGATACACGACCGCACGCCGGTACGATGCTCATCCAGATCGAAACGGGCAGGGGTGGGGATTGAACCCAGGATCCCTGGGTTCTGCAGCGCGAGCTTTCGCTCCACGTGCTCCGAGCTGGTGTGCGCTAGCCCACTCGGCCACCGATTTCCCTCTCTGCCATTTCAGATCCCGCCACGTATGCGAAAACATTTTAATGTTTTTATCACTTAAAAACACCATTTTCGGAATCGAACGATGCTTGTCGGAATGGTTTGACTATACTTTGTTTCAAAATTCACCTCGGTGGCTCTTAAGTAGCAATGATATTAAAACAAAAAACAAAAAAATGAAATCGTCTCAGTGTCTCTGAGCCAACGCGCTAGCCCATGAATCCACATTTGTCGGGTTTAAATGTCGGCCGAGGTGCCCGCAATCCGACGGAGGCCAATCTGAGATTTCGGTTGCACGTCAAAAGATCTCCAATTAGTCAACATATACCCGCATATTTTTTTATTGGGGCATGTTAAGTGATTTTTGTTGGTTTGGCTTGTGAAACCCTAAGATTTGAATATTTGCTTTGCTTTACCTTAGTTCGGAGCGCAGCCAACGCTACGGGCTGGTAAAGACACTGAAGCAACGCCAAGAGCGCGAAGTTAAGCTGTTTGTTCTCTTTCTGTGCCGATGCGGTCGGGCTAAACTAGAACAACTAAGTAAGCTACGCTTCGTAGACATCTTGGTATTTAAAATAATGGTTGTCAGTTATCTGAAGCTTTTGAAATCACATGAAACGCCTTTCCGTCCTCCACAAATGTTTAAACAGTTCGCCACAAAGCAAAGCAATATTCCGCGAGCTGCCTGACACCGAAACTAATGCTAAGGAGGTCGCACTTTTGAATCATGACGATCGGCAGTTGCATTTGATTGTTTACTAACCACCAAGATGGCGGCGCCCACAATAATATCGAGGGAAAAAGTGCCGATACTCCAAGCGTAGCTCATTTGGTTTAGCTCACAGGCTAAACCAAGTGCGGTGGGGGACCGTTGGCCAAGTGTGTAGTGGCACCGCAGATCAGAGCACGTGGAGAAATGCTCGAGCGCGAGCTCCGTTCAAAGCACGGAGCTCACGCTGCGGAACCCAACGTTGGCGGAACCTGTAGGGACTAAATCCCCTCGATGTGTTTGCGTTGGTCGTTCAAATAACCTCAAAGTTGCCAGTGCACGAGGCCCGTGTCTCGAGCGGCCCTTGGAGGGAAATGGCGGCGCAGCACTAAAATGACTGGCCCTTTAAAGCGAATGGCGGCGGAGCACCCGCTCGTGGCGCGTGTCTTGCGCGTTTCTACAACAATGGTTGGCGGTACTTGTAAAAAACGCCTCTATCAAGGGGCTTTAGCAGGGACCCTGGGTTCAGTCGCCCATCTGCGTCCTACCGTCATGCGATCGTGTACCACATATACGCGTAATGCACGTTAAAGACCCCGAGCTAACAGTTGTACTGCAATGTTTATAACCTTCAACGAGCAACAATGGCGCCCTACGAAACTGCTGCTCTTTAAAAAAACTAACGACTAGTTTTGATTGTGCCGTTACATTGCATTTTTAATTTGTGTTCGCTTGTTCGCGTTCTTTTTTTTTTTTTTTTTGTCTACAATTTTTATTATGCGGCCCTTAACTTATGATGAACCAGACTATAGGTGTCGGAGTCCTAAAAAAAAATATTATATAACTAAGAAAATGGCACGTGATAGCAACAGACAAAACAAAAACACATAGAGCACTTAATATAAATAATTGAAATAATAGAATTGATTATAATTGTGTTTTCAGAGGTTTGAGCGTACCGAGAGCTATAAAAACGAACTCGATGCTTTGGATGGTGCGTTTGTTCACTGGAAGTATAGTTCAGGGCAGAATGCTCGCACTTGTATGTTCCGCTTCGCTTGCAGGGTAAAACCAAATACTTTACTGGTAATGTATTTAGTTAAACAAAGCTTATCTTCTGTATATGTGCAATGCTCTCAGTTTTCGCGTGATTACACGCTTGTTTATCATCATTGTTTTCGTTTCCCACAGCGATTCAGTTTGTGTTTTTTTTTGTGTGTGTGCTACATGCATTAGAGACCAAGGTAATCCAAGAGCATTCTATTTCGCGGATTGTAAAAAATCCTATGCAATCTGCCAGGGGTACCCCAATCAATACAAAATATTCTAAGCTTCACATATTACCGCTTGCCTGAGTAAACATTGTTGTTTGTCAAGAACAATTGTGATTGTATGAAACCATGTGGGAAAAACTCGTTCTAAGGACGCGACCGTTGGCGTGCAGTAAATACTCATAATCGGCGCCGAGATGATTGGTAGCTGTCAGCAGGTGGAGTTTTTCTATCAACCTAAACTTAGAATGTTTCCTTCTTTCTGTTGTAAGCAATGAGGAGAGGACTTACACCAAAGCTGAGGGTAATAAAGTACTATGAGCATTCAAACATAATGGCCTGAGCAGTATATGTGTACACGCTTTAGCCTTTAATGCACCCTTAGCTTTGGATGCACTCAACGCTAGTGTAAAATGTAGCGTTTTTTTCATTCTTAAGTACCATGTGAGTGCTTACACTATATTTTATACAATGTCAAACTCTACCCGTTTGCATCTTTTTTTTTTTTTTTTTCATTTTCGCACACCACTATTTGCGCGCATGAATCACCAAATTAAGACTGGCCCCAGGATGTCTCAAAAAACAAATTACAGGTTTTTTTTTTGTACCGCAAAAATAAACTACGCATCGTTTAACGCTCATTTTCCGCCAAAAGGTAGCGCTAGGTTACTACCAGATGCCAAAGTTTCATCCCGAACGGACGCCTTATTAAAAAGTTATAAGTAATTTTCTGAAAATTTCAATGGGAAAATGAAGCCCATTTTTGCCCGTTTTCGGTTTCTGGTGCCATAGGGCCCCATGTATTCGAAAACTCCGTCGGCCGC